CCGAAAAGGCCAAAATCATTTCCCATTGGTGTTTGAAGGATTGTGGCATTTGCTTTTTGTTTGGCCTTCCGACGGCCCGAGACGGCCCCAAAGATCGCCCAAAAGGCCCAAGACACGGCCCCAAGAGGCCCCCAAAACGGCCCAAGAGGTCTCCAAGACGCTCAAGATGGCCTCCAAGACGGCCCAAAAGCCCTCCAAGACGTCCTCCAAAAAGGCCCAACAGGGTCAAAATGGCCTCCACGCGGCCAAGATGACCTTCAAGATGCCCACGTGTTCCCCGAAGGCTTTCCAAACCGATTCGGGGAACACGTGGCCCGATAGCTTGGCAGGTCTGGCCTCAACGTTCGGCCACATAGGCGCTTCCAGAAAGGCAGGGGGCGGCGGTGATTCGCCGTAGTTGTCTTCGATCCGCCGCCCCCTTTTGATGTATCAAAGGGGTGCCTGGCGTGCCCGATGATATGGCTTTTGGTGTTGGTTCTTTTTCCAAAAGAACTCGCAAGGAGCTCCACCGAAGGTCCCAGTGGGTGTGCCCGCATGCATCCCGCACACCTGTTTCGGCACACCCCTCACACGTTTCGTGGCCCCCTAGGGAGCTCCACCGAAGGTCCCAATGGGTGTGCCCGCGTGCGTCCCGCACACCAATTTCGGCACACCCCTCACACGTTTCGTGGCCCCATAGGGAGCTCCACCGAGGGTCGCAGTGTGTGTGCCCGCATGCGTCCCGCACACCCATTTCGGCACACCCCTCACACGTTTCGTGACCCCACAGGAAGCTCCACCGAAGGTCCCAATGGGTGTGCCCCCATGCGTCCCGCACACCCATTTCGGCACACCCCTCACACGTTTCGTGGCCCCATAGGGAGCTCCGCCAAGGGTCCCAGTGGCACAGTCCGTATGCGTCCCGCATACCCATTTCGGCACACCCCTCACACGTTTCGTGGCCCCCTAGGGAGCTCCACCGAAGGTCCCAGTGGGTGTGCCCGCATGCGTCCCGCACACCCATGTCGGCACACCCCTCACACGTTTCGTGGCCCCATAAGGAGCTCCACCGAAGGTCCCACTGGCACAGTCCGTATGCGTCCCCGCCATTCATGTCGGCCCACCCGTCGCACGCTTCGTGGCCCCATAGGAGCTCCGCCGAAGGTCCCAGTGGCACAATCCGCATGCGTCCCCGCCACTCATTTCGGCCCGCCCCGCACACGTTTCGTGGCCCCACGGGAACTCCGCCGAAGGTCCCGGTGGCGCAGTCCGCATGCGTCCTCGCCACTCATGTCGGAACACCCCTCTCACACGTCTCGTGGCCCCATAGGAGCTCCGCCGAAGGTCCCCGTGGCGCAGTCCACATGCGTCCCCGCCAATCATTTCGGCACACCCCTCACACGTTTCGTGGCCCCACAGGAGCTCCGCCGAAGGTCCCGGTGGCACAGTCCGCATGCGCCCCCGCCATTCATTTCAGCACGCCCCTCACACGCTTCGTGGCCCCATAGGATCTTCACCGAATGTCCCCGTGGCGGCACAGTCCGCATGCGTCCCCGCCATTCATTTCGGCACACCCTTCACACGCTTCGTGGCCCCACAGGAGCTCCGCCGAAGGTCCCAGTCGCACAATCCGCATGCGTCCCCGCCACTCATTTCGGCACCCCACACGCTTCGTGGCCCCATGGGGAACTCCACCGAAGGCCTCCGTGGCGCAATCCGCATGCGTCCCCGCCACGGCACACCCCTCACACGTTTCGTGGCCCCATAGGAGCTCCGCCGAAGGTCCCCGTGGCACAGTCCGCATGCGTCCCCGCCACTCATTTCGGCACACCCCTCACACGTTTCGTGGCCCCATAGGAGCTCCACCGAAGGTCCCCGTGGCGCAGTCCGCATGCGTCTCCCTCACCCAGTACAGCGCTTCGTGGCCCCATATAGAGCCCTACCGACGGTTCCAGCCAGCCAGCTAGCTCTCTTTGCTCCGCGCAGCGGACGACCCGCGCGCGTCGCTGGGACCCCTCCGGGGCGACCAGCGCGCGTCGCGGGGACTCCGCGCTGCGTTTTGCCCAGCGCCTCGCTCGCCCGTCGTCGCTCTGCCCAGCGGCAAGAGCCTTGCCCGCTATCTGCCAGCCAGCTAGCTCTCTTTGCTCTGCGCAGCGGACGACCCGCGCGCGTAGCTGGGACCCCTCCGGGGCGACCTGCGCGCGTCGCGGGGATTCCGCGGCCCAAGAAACGCCCAAAACGACCCAAGCGGGCATCCAGTCGGCCCCACGAAGGAGCCCGAAGGGCAATTTGTTGGTCTTTGGCTCCGACATCCCCGCATCCTGCTGCAAGAACCTCCCAGCCTCAGGGAGCCCCGAGCGGGGCCCAAAAGGCTCCCAACCGGCTCCTAGACACCCCCCAAAGGGCCCATACACTACCTCCGAGACGCCCCCGTCACGCCTCAAGACCAAATCGTGACTTTTCCTCCTCCTCTTATTTGACTCCCCTTCCGCCTCTCCCCCATCTTCCGCCTGCTCCTCCTCCTCCTCCGCTTTCACCTTCTTCGCGTTCATGCATTCATCGGCTTCGTCCTCCCTCTCGCTCGCACCCCCGCTGCGCCTACTTCTACGGGCCATGGCACGGGCGCCCTACTGGTATCATTTGCGCGCCTTGCATTACAAGGTACCCTTCTTCTCGTCACGCGCGACACGGCTCGCGTCCACGAAGAAAACCGGCTTCCCTCTGGCACTTGCCACTGCACTGAAAAGGCCTGCCAACTGCGCGACGTGACCCCGTCGGCAATGCAATCTGCGCATACAACTTCAGTCTTTCTCGTAAAATGCTCGTTCTCCTGTTTGGCGCTTATGTGCTCCTACCGAGCGAACTGTTTCTTGCACGCTGCGCACATCAGCAGTCGCTTCAACCGCTTCGACTCATCGGCCACACCCTTCGCGGCGATGCCCCGCTTATGAAAATTACCCCAGTGCGACCCTACCCAGAAGTTGGAGCCCATAGAAAAGCAGTATTCGTTGCTTTGCTATGCGATGCTATGATATGCCATGCTATGCTGCGCTATTCTATGTTATGCTATGTTACGCTATATTATGTTGTGTTATGCTATGATATGATGTGCGATGCTATGCGAAGCTATGATATGTAATGCTGCGCTGTGCGATGCTAAGCGATGATATAATATGCTATGCTATGATAAGCTGCGCTATCATATGTTATGATGTGATATGCTATGATATGATATGATATGGTATGATATGCTGCGCTGTGCTAGGTTGTGATGTGCTGTGCTGCGTTATGCTATGCTATGCTATGCTATGCTGCGCTATGCTATGCTATGCTGGGCTATGTTATGATATGATGTGTTGCGCTATGCTATGCTACGATGTGCTATGCTGTGCTCTGCTATGCTAAAGCTCAGCGAAGCTAAGATGAAGGTAAGCTAAGCTAAGACAAACCTGAGCTAAGATGAAGCTAAACTAATCTAACATGAAATAAGCTAAGCTAAGATGAGATAAGCAACGCTAAGCTAAGGGGCCGTAATTGGGGGAACCGCGGGGCGGATGCCGGGGGAACCGCCCGGGGCGTTTTCAACTGCCCCGCCCCTTTAAACCAAGACAGTAAGAACCCTTCTAGGCAGTGCCTAGGTAGGGAATTTTCGCACACCACTCTTGCTCCTTCCTTCGTCCGGTGGTCCCCCATTTGGTTGCGGTTCAAATGGCCGACATCCCAGGAGGACACCCCGAAGCACCCAAGAAGCACCCAAGAAGGCTCCAAGACGGCCCAAAAGAACCCCACGACGGCCAAAGAAACCGCCAAGACGGCCCAAGAAGCCCCATGACGGGCCAACGAAGCCTCCAAGCTGGCGCCAACACGGACCCAAGAGGGGAACCTCAAACCGAAAAATCTAGCCTTCCGCCCCAAGAAGCCTCCAAACACAGAAAAGCACCATCCAAACCTTGAACTCGGTTAAAGGGTCGGCGGATGTGGCGTAAGCCTATAGAATAAATCTACGCGGGCCGTACCGCACCTGGCCGTGGGCAAGTCTTATTTAGCACATACGTTGCGAACGTGTCACCACGCAGCCACATGCGCCCATACACGTCAGAATCATTGGAACAAACTTTTTCGTGCTGCAAACCTGCTTCATGATGCGATCACCGCGGACTGCATGAGGTCATGCATCGCAAGACGAACCCCTGACCCCGTGCGCTATGCGAAATGGAGGCGGCACTGACACGAGGTCCGAAATGTTGCAAAGACATAATACCAAACGGTACATTGCACCACTTGGCGATTATGACACTAGGCGTCGCGTTCGCTGTTGGTGTTTGGTGTTCACTTCTCCACTGCCCCCAATTTCGCATGTGTTACGGTCCAGTTTCTCCGAAACAACAGGGTGATGCTACATGTTGTCGATCGCCCAAGAAATTACCACAGCGCCGTTCCCTTTTGCCGCCAATCTGAAATCGGGGGGGGGGGGGGGCGGGACGGAAGGAAGAATGTCGAAGCATGCGTGCGAAGAACAACCCAACTTGCGGAAACACTTTGCCGATGTACGGCATGTGATCTCGGAGCCTCACAATCATGCCCTAGAGATACCTAGCACATTCAGGAAAGTCTGGCCCAAGAGAGACTCATAGGGCCTCCAAGACGGCCTACAACGTGCCTCGAGAGCACCTGAAGGCACATGTTAAGACCGTCATTGAAATGCCATCTCCTCTTTGATCGATGGCCTCTGAGATGATCGGAAAGAGAGCCCGCACGAGGGCCCAAGAGAGCCCAAAGAGCGCCTCGAGGACCCCGACAGGGCCCCGAGAGATCTCAAAGATGGCTCCCACAGGCGACCAAATCTACCATTGATGGCTTCCACAGGCTTCACCGTACCCTCATCTATGTCCCCTTCTCTGGACACGTCGTCAATTCGGACGCCCGTCACATCGTGAGACCTCTGGGAATATTCTGGGGGCATCTTTGGGGCTAGACACATCTGATGACATGTCTGCGTCCTTTACGCAGACCCTGGGCGCCACGTCGCGATGGCCACCCTTCAGCAAGAACGGTACTAGGCTCAATTTGGCGGCGCGGCCTAGAGCGGCGAAGCGGACGAGTCGTCGCGTCCGCTGAGGTGCAGGAACGCGTACTGTATCAGAGTGCCGAACTCCTCCTCAGGCCCGCCCCAATGCCTCTTGAGCCCATCCCTCAGGAGCTGGATGCCCTCCGTGAATGTCGACTCGCGAGACCCCCAGAAGGAGCGGGCGCCAGAACAGATGATCATCTCCACCATCCCCGAGAACTTCTCGTTCAACCCCCTGCCCAGAAGCTGAGGCTTCACGTCCGCGAAGGTCACGAGCTCGTGGCCGTGGGCCTTCAGCGCGCTCCGCATGCTGCTCCACCACCGCGGGTCGATCTCGTCCGAGGCGACGTAGACGACCTCCTTGGGCCTCAACGTCTCTAGGATCTTCTCCAGGACGCTCCCGGGCGAGTCGGGGGCCTGCTCGAACTGGAAGTCGTTCCTGCGCAGGTGCAGTGCGGTGTAGTTGCGCACGCCCATCTGGGCAATGGGGCCGCTTGCGATCGCGTACAGGTGCCGCTGGTAGTGGAGCTCCGTTTGCCACTGGGGCGGCTCGTTGGCCTCGATCGGTCGCTCCTTGCCGCCCCAGACCTGGCCTGCAAGCCCCGTCCCCGCGCTGCCAAAGCTCCGACAGAAAAGGAACCGCTGCTCGAACCCATCAGTCTTCCCGCTGCTGTCCCAGATCCTGGCCGGGATGTGCACAACCTTGGCCGAGGAGCTCTCCGCCAAGTGTCTCACCAGATTGCAGTTCCCTCTGGCGACCTTGAGGGGAACAGAAAATCAGAAGGCGAAAACTCACCCCCACCCCCAGTCCCGACGCCCATCCCCGAGCCGGCGATTCAAGGGGCCGGGACTGGGGGTGGGGGTGGGTTTTCTCCATTCTTGGACCCACCCCCACCCCCAATCCCGACTCCTTGAATCGCGGGTTTGGGGATGGAGTCGGGACTGGGGGTGGGGGTGGGTTCTCGCCTTCTAAAAGGGGGACTGGGTCTAGGAGGGAACGTCGGCTCCGAATCAGCGATGCGTCTACAGTAAGTCGGCGACAGGCCTCCGACGGCGAACCCACTCCTGCCTGGGCATGGTGGGGAGCCCTGGCTCCCGTTGGCGATGCATGCGACGTTTGGGTCGATGTGCTAATCCCGGGACAAACCCCTCCTCCTCCTCCTCCTCTCCTCCTCCTCCTCCTCCTCCTCCTCCTCCTCCTCCGCCTCCTCCCCCTCCTCCCATTCCTCCTCCTCCTCCTCCTCCTCCTCCTCCTCCTCCTCCTCCTCCTCCTCCTCCCTCCTCCTCCTCCCTCCTCCTCCTCCTCCTCCTCCTCCTCCTCCTCCTCCTCCTCCTCCTCCTCCTCCTCCTCCTCCTCCTCCTCCTCCTGCTATCCCAACGCCTTGGGCGATCGGGAGGCCCCGTGGAGCCCGCACCTCAGACCCCTCTGGCGAGGGGCCACTCTTGCGCGCAGTCGATTGGGCGCGCCCCTGGGACCACCGTGTGCTGCTGCAACCAATACTTCCACGGGCTGTAGTCGGGCTGGGCGTTGGTCTGCCGCTTGGGGTTTGCCGCCTCTGGGGCGCCCCCGGGCCTGAGGACCTTGTCGTAGAACTCCTGCGCGCGCAGCACCGGGATCTTCTTTCGCAGGTCGTCGACGTCCCAGAGGTCCTCGTACGCGGTCGTCGTGTTGGCCGCTCTCCAGACCTGCGCAGAAGGCGCGCGTGCACCACCGCGATCAAAGTCCAGGGCTGTACGGGGTCCTGGCACAGTGCATGCGAGCTCCTGGCCAAGGATAGGGGCGTGAATGTGGGTGCCACCTCCCGACCTTATCGGTCAGGCTTGCCGCGTTCATGGGTCCCCAGTCTATCAAGTACAGGGCCTCGTGCGGAGGGAGCACCAGCGTACGACTGGACGTTCGGGCGACGTCGACGAAGAACTCGAAAGCCATCCGAATGTTGTTGAAGCCACCGCTGTCGGACTCGAACGTCAGGTAACGCTCGTTCACCAGTGGCACTTGTGACCCGCCCGACTTCAGCCACGGCTGCATCGCCTGCGCTACCTTATCCTGATCGTCACTCATAACGATGCGCACATCCCCGTCGGCCAACCTTCGAACAGGGGATCGACTAGAGAATCGATCTGGCCCGAAACTGATGTTTCGCCGCATCGGGGGAAGGGAAAAGACGAATTGCTCGTGGACTGCTGCGTCTTCCCTCGGCGACTCGACGAAAAAACAAGTCTGGGGTACATCCTTTCTGCCTTTGTTTGAGCAGGGACCGACCGTCCCGGCATTCCGTCATACCACGAAATGTTCTTAGAACCCAACAGTGTTCTGAGAACAAAAACAAGGTTCTTAGAACATGAGCCCGATGTGCTGAAACAAAACAGTCCCAGCCAGAACTGTTCTAAGAACATTCCGTGGGAACCAAGACAGGTTCTCAGAACATTGTTTGGTGGGGCTACGGGCGAGCCAGGACGCTTCGCCACTGCTTGAAATTTGTTCTCCTGTTACCAGCCTGGAACATATCCCTATCCCTATGCTGGGCATCTCCTCATCACGATGGCAATCTTAGGGATTCCCTTTTTTTCTTGAGGGCGCATCACTAAGATTGTCATCGCCTCTTGGCGTGCCAACCTTAGGGATCAGGATGAGTGCGAGGCTGGTTCTCCTGCTCGAAACCTGGACGTGAGCGTCTGGGAGCGATGTGTTAAAACAAGACAGTCCCAGCCAGACATGTTCTAAGAACAGTTCGTGGGCACTGAGAGAAAGGTTCTTGGAACATCGTTTGGTGGGGCTATGGGGGCGAGCCAGGACGCTTCGCCACTGCTTGACACGTGTTCTCCTGCTCGAAACACCTGGACGTGAGCGTCCGGGAGCGGCCTCTCCCCCCGAGGCCCGCGGGGGAGCTCGCCAGGGCCCGCGCGCCGCGGGCCGCGGAGAGCAGCAGGAGCAGCGCGGCCCGCGCGGCGGCCCGCGCGCCGGCGCCGCCGCCCATTGGCCTCCGCGCCTCCGCCCTTAGGGCGGGCGAGCGCCGCGGAGGGGCAGGCAGAGGGTTTAAGTCGGGCCTGTCCCCCCAGAAAATAGCCCCAGAATAGTCCATCAACTTCGGGATTTTCGGCGAAAATCAAAAATAGGGGATTTTCAGCGATAGGGGCCCAAAAAATAAGCCCAAGAAATAGCCCCAAAAATGGAAACAATCAAATAGTCCAAAACAGGGGATTCTCGGCGAAAACTCAAAAATACCCCTTCAAAATAGTCCCAACAAAAATTGTCCGAAAATAATCCTGGGGCGATGTTTGGGGTATGTGTTGACCTTTCTGGGGCCTTCTTGGGGTCTTTTTTATGTTTCGTCGAAAATCCCCCTGTAGGGGGACAGGCCCGACACAAAGGTAGTAAATCACGTGTGCGATATGACGAGCGCTCGAGCGAGGGCGGACACGCGGATCCTGTCGCACATCCTCCTCGTGTCTCCCGCTCCTCGGCCTATCCACCATGGCTATGTATGTGTATATATATATATCTATATATCTATATATCTATATATAATATATATGTATATATGTGTATATATATACGTGCGCGTATAGCTACCATGCCGAGAAAGATATACAGTATGACTCAAATCACGCCGCCATTCCCTCAGGCTACCCCGTGCTGCAGGAGTGTGCAGAAGAGATGATGCGGACAGCCGATCGCGGGTAATGCTCCAGCCAGCGAAGAGGCGATTGCGCCTCACATAAGGCCCGACCGGGAAATAAAGAAACGCAAGAGCAAAGAAACAGAAGATGGTGGGTCCTGGGACGAACGAAACCACTGGGTGAAGAGGAGAAGGATGAGGCAGACGTGGTACAAGGGACAGGGAGGGTCAGGTCCACCTGCCCCCTTGAGGTGTCATGAGTAGAGAAACGAAAAGCTGCATAAACAAAACGTTGACGGTCCGCGCGGATTTCTTGGACATGCGCTGAACCCCCCTCCTGGAGCGCGCCAGCGGCGGCGCCAGAGGCGCCGCCAGGAGAGCCCACAACAAATCCAGAAAATCCGAGAGGACCCTCAATGTCTATGTTTATGTCGCTTTATCTTCTTCAAATCTGGGACGAAGCCAGGACGAGGATAAATTCGGGTGAGGATAAATCGAGTATCTCTGAGATCTGGAGGCTCTGGAGGGTGTATTGGGCGTTGCGGCCCTCTCAAAGCGTTCCGGGAGGCTCTGAGAGCGTTCCGGAACGCTCTGGAACGGATCCATCCTCGTCCTATCCCCGTCCGACCCTCCTCCTCCTCCCTCCTCCCTCCTCCTCCTCCTCCTCCTCCTCCTCCTCCTCCTCCTCCTCCTCCTCCTCCTCCTCCTCCTCCTCCTCCAGTACCGTCTTGGCTCAGGTCGTGTGCTCGCTAGTCCGCCGCCGCCGCTCCGATGCCGGGTACGACGAAGTGCGACCGCGCCGCGGCGCCGCTGGAGGCCTCGCGAGGGGCCCTGATGGCAGTTCACGCGGCAGCGGGCTTGGCCGCCGCAGGAGGTCAGCGCGCGTCGGCGCGCCTCCTGCGGGCGGCGGAGGGGCTCATCCGCACGGCGATCGCCGATCTCGGCATGCAGCCTGCCCCCCCTGCCTCGACGGACGACGTGGGTCCTCCGGTGGCGCCGGCCCGGCGCCGTCGCCCGCGCGGCCGCGGCGGCCCGAAAGAGGTGGAAGTGCAGGACGAGATGCAGGGAGTCGTGGAGGAGAAGGCCCCGGGTGGTGGGGCGGCTGAGGCGGTGGTGGGCGCGGGGGCCATCGTCGTAGCCGAGCCGATGGAGTCCGACGAGTGGGCGGACGAGCTGCCGCTGGTGCGGAGGCGCGGCCGCCCTGCGGGCGACGCGGGCCTGGGCAAGGGCGTGGACAAGAGCAAGGCCAAGGGCGGCGCAGGCAAGGACAAGACCAGGGGTGCGAGCTCCGAGGTGGTGGAGCTCCGTTGGCGCGCTGCTGGCCTGGCTGGGCGCCTGGGCCTGCCCACCGAGCGGATCCCGTCGCTCGGCCCGGTCGAGCTGCACGCCATGGTCGGCCATTTGGAGCAGATGCTGGCCCAGCGCGGCGAGACGGGGTAGCCATTCGTGTTCGTGGTGCCCGACGGCGTGTTGGCCGTCGTGGTCTGAGGGGTCGTCCTCATCGACCTCGCGGTCGGGGGGTCCTGGGCTCCTCAGGTGGAGTCCAGGCCCCCCGCGGGCGCGGCTGCGGCCGCGCGCTGGGCGGAGTGACCATTCGCCCTCTGCCGCGCGCTCTCTCTCCTCCTCCTCCTCCTCCTCCTCCTCCTCCTCCTCCTCCTCCTCCTCCTCCTCCTCCTCCTCCTCCTCCTCCTCCTCCTCCTCCTCTCCTCCTCCTCCTCCTCCTCCTCCCTCCTCCTCTCCTCCTCCCTCCTCCTCCTCCTCCTCCTCCTCCTCCTCCTCTCCTCCTCCTCCTCCTCCCTCCTCCTCCTCCTCCTCCTCCTCCTCCTCCTCCTCCTCCTCCTCCTCCTCCTCCTCCTCCTCCTCCTCCTCCCTCCTCCTCCTTCTCAGTTCCCCCTGCCAGTTCTGGCTCCAAGCTCTGGTCCTAGCCCCTAGCCTACCTCTTCTCGGGCCGCCCCTCTCCCCGGGGACACATCGGCACCGAGCAACGCCACTTGCCGGACCTCTCCAACGGGTGCGTTCTGGCCAGAGCTTCCATGCGAATCCGACCGTGGTGGCGAGGGCCTTCCAGGCTCCCAGGAGGCCGCCAAAGGCGAAGCCGAGTCAAGGGCAGCGGCATCGGCATCCGTACCTTTTGCAACTCTGCGCCCTAATTACCCCTGCGGCAGGTTCGTGTTGTGACGGCCTCAACGGTGGTCTCCGACACCGCGTGGACCGCTCAAACTTGAACGATCGGAGGCATTTCGATCACCAAATCGTTCCAGATTGACCGATTCTGGGCCACAAGCGGCGTTCAACCTTGGCTGCCCGTGGCGGGGTCGCCGCGGCCGTGTCCAAGCACACCTGCATACAAAAGCGTCCATGCAAGCACGCATACAACCGTAATCGAATTCTTTCCCAGATCTTCCCCAACCACCTGCCCCGTTAGGCAGAAGTGAATGGAAAGGTGATGGTGTCGGCGTGCATATTATCTATATGCACAAATGCAGAAATCTGGAGACTTGACCCGACTGTCCTGGTCAGATTACCCGGAGCTCCATTCTTCTTCCTCTCCAGGAGGAACTTTCAGAGTCCTGGTTAGCAGCGGCCTGGTCCAAGGGGCCCTGACCTGTTCCTCGGGTCCTTGCACGTCTCTTTCTCCAGTGCATCGATGTGTTTTTGCGGCCAAGAAGGGTTCTTTCTGCACCCGAGCGACGATCAGAAACGAATCTCACGCGGGATGACACAGCGCTTTTGCGCGGTGGCTTGCGCGGGCCATCAGCGCGGCACGCTACCCTGGACACGGGGGCGCCTGCGCGCGACCTTACGTGGGGAGCTCGCGCGCCAGCGTCCGCGCAGGCGGCCCCGCGTTTTGGGCCTCGCTCGCGTGGCCATAATTTGAGCAGGGACCGACCGTCCCGGCATTTCTATAATCCTACCACGAAATGTTGTTAAAACCCAAACATGTTCCAATAACAAAAACAATGTTCTTATAACATAGACCCGATGCGATGAAACAGGGCAAACTCCGCCAGCAACGTTCGAAGAACATTTCGTGGAAACCACAAAAAGGTTCTTAGGACATTGCTTGGTAGGGCTACAGGCGAGCCTGGACGCTTCGCCACTGCTGGAATCATTCCCTGAAGCCGTTGCGGCATCACGGGCCGCCGCGGCCCGGGGGCCCGACGGTGTGTTGGGCGCGGGGGTCGGCACGGCGCGACCCCGCCGTGCCTCCGGGCAGCCGAGAGAGGCGGCGCCGCGCCTGTCTTCCACTGCGAGGCCAGGGCGCGGGCCGCGGCGCGTGCGGCGCGTGCGCGGCCGACGGCGCGCCCCGAGGCCGAAAAGACGAGCCGCCGCCGCCCACCCTGGAGGCGGGCCACCTGAGTTCGACAGCCGCGCTCCACTGCTCGCATAGCAGCTGCTCGCAAATGGCCCGAGTCAACCGCGGGGGATCTGCGCTCCACTCTCTCTACATCTAGAGGAAAGGATGGCCCCTCCTGTTGTCGGGCGTTTGCGAGCAGGCGCTCTGCGAGCAGGGGAACGCGATCGGTGATGAACGACGCAAAGCTTACGCGGGCAACTTACGTGCAGCGGCGACGTCGGCGATGCATCGGCGACGTCGGCGTGGAGAAAATTGGCCCCCCCGACCCCGCCTACTCCGACCCCATCTAGGAGGCCTAGTATACTATCATCGCCCCCCACGCCGCCGGAACCCGGCACGAGAGCACTGCCGCCCTGCGCAACCGCACAAAGCACGACGCCGTCCTCACCGCCGCCGCCGCCGCGCCCCGCGCCCCGCCGCCTGCGGCCTTCCCGGAGGGGCGGAGGCCACGGCCTAGCTCCCCGACGCGCCCGCGGCGGGCGCGGGCGGGCTCCCCAGAGGGTTCGCGCGCGGCTCTGGCGCGCGCCTCGCTGCGCTGCGATGCGCCACCGCCTGCGAGCTGGCCCGAGCTGGCCGGGGCCCGACCACAAGAAACCTCCCACCAAACAAACCCAACCCTAAGACTCCAGGACGTTCATTGGTTTTTAGTATTGGAACGTCCCGCTGTCCATCGCAAAACCATCGAGACCTAACAAGCCCAAGGCACCCTGGAGGCAAGCAGGGTGTTTTTTGGCATGGGTCCCACTGTATACCTCGGCGTATAATTCACCAGAAGAGCGCTGCGTTTGGCAAAATTGGGGTTCGATGATGAAGCTAACGTTGGTCGCATCGCTCAAAACACGTGTCTCTGACCTGATTTCCATAGTCCGTTGAGCTGTGACTAAATGTACACAAGAAAACAACGGAATAGAGGAGGGACGCGACAGTCCGCAACCATTTCAACTCTCGCGCCGATGGGCCCGCGGTGCCCATACACAGCGAGCCTTGTCTTTGTACCTAAACAACTGCAGCGGTCGGCGGCAGGGAGCGAGCAGGGAGAAGAGAAACCCCTCGGCGGCCTCCGTGCCCCCAATCCCCCAACGCAGGCGGCGGCGTCGGCCGGGGAGTGAAGCGCACGGGATGCAGGGGACACTAAGCGCACGCTGGCAGGATAAGGAAGAGGCGCTGGAGCTGGAGCTGAAGGCCGGCGTGCGTCGGAGTGCGCCCTACACGGGCCGCCAGCAAGCAAAATCGCGAAATGTCACATTTGGACGCCTGAAACGGGTACGGAAAACGTGGGTACAATGCCCAACAACAGATGTCAGTCCAAACCAACAGCGGCCGCCGCTTGGTAGGCGGCCTTCTGTCCCAAATGGACACAAGCCGCGGCGGCGCGGACATCGAGTCCTGTTCGAAATGAACAAGAACTGCTGTTGAGCAGGTGCCCACTCTTTCCGTACCCATTTCGTTCGTGCCGACCACACATCCAAACCTCTCAACTGTAGACGACGAATGGGTGCGTGGTGTCGGATGGGGGTCCCCGCTCGAACGGGAGCTCCCCCAGAGGTCCGACAACCCGCGCCCATACCCATAGCCAGTCCTTCTCCACCCGACCTCCCTATGGTTGGATGTTCGTTCTGGGGACCTTCCTGGAGCCACTCACTCCACTCGTGCGTCGAAACTGCGTCAAAAGTCCGCCGATCTCGGTCGAACCTGAGTCGAACTGGAGTCGGACTTGAGTCGAACTTGAGTCGAACTTGAGTCGAACTTGAATCGAACTTGGGTCGAACTGGGGTCGAACAGATCCGTTGGGTGGGCTCCAAGAAGGTCCCCAAAACGAGCATCTAACTATGGGTGCGGGTGTGTTGCTCGGCTCGTTATGCAAGTGATGGTGTCGTCTGCCCAGCGTCTCAGAGGACGGCCCGGCGCCCGGCGCCTGGCCGGCGTCCAACCCAGCGCCGCCCGCGATCACCGGCCCTCCATCGGTGCTGCCGGCGGTCTCCTGCTGCAGGGATGGGGAAGATTGAAGGGGCCTTGGGACGCACAAGTAGATACACACAAATAACAGGCTTCCCCATATTTTCCAATATGTTCTGGGTTTTTGTCCTCCCGCCCAATTCCCATATTTTCCCATATTTTCTGCGGAATCGACGATTAATTGCGTCTGGGCTCCGGGACTGCGGCTGCCACTGGCCGGCCCCCCCCCACCCCCCCGAAGAGCGCCGTCTGGGGCCAGCCCCGGAGGGCCGCCTCGACCAAGTTCAGCCCCGCGCGGGTCGCGGGCTGCCTCGGAGGAGCGGTCCTGCATGGTCGCGCCGACCATGCCGACCGCGCGCGCGGACTGTCTCTGCCGCGCTGCGACGTGAAACATGTTCGCGCCGACCCCGCGCCCACGATTTTTAAGCGGAAGCCGGAGGCCTTTGAATCCATAAGTGAGGCGGCAGAAAACGTCGCAAGCGACATGATCGAGGAAGCGCAAGCGTCAGCATCCCTTGGTCCAGCGAAGTATGCGGGAACATCCAAAAGCACTGCGAAGCCTCCAGTAACCGTCATGCCTCTACGAGCAATGATGTCACAGTGAGGGTGACACATATGCGAACACAACAAGCAATGCAAGAAATAATGAGAGCGACACCATTCAAGAATAGCTCAGATATCTCGGATTCTACGAATCATAAAACTCGTGATGCACACATTGCCGACAGTTAGATGTCCTACAGGTAACCCGACGTATGCAAACACAATCACGCACACGCTTTTCTACACTTGTGCCGGTATACGTGTATGTGTGATCCGTATCAGAATGCGCAGCATAAGCGAATATGCGGGCATGCGTCTATATGTGCATGTGTATACCTAGGTGTGTATGTATATGCATACTTATACCCGTGCACACTCACAAATATATGTATATATATATGCACATACCATACCATAGTATATACGCAGCTGCCCCACATACACATCACATGTACGTTCGATTCCCGCTCATCTATCCTCTATCGTTCTCGTCCTCCTCCTTGTCTTCTCCTGGTATTCCTCCTTGTGTTTCCCCCTCCACCCCCTTTTTCCTCTTTTTCATCCTCCTCCTCTCTTCTCCTCGTCTCCTCTGTCTTTCATTTCCTCCTCCACCTCCCCTGCCTAATCGTCCTCGCCATCACCACCGCAACTAGTAGCAGCCTCACCAGCAAGCAATGCGGTAAAGACAGTCGTTGGAGTTATAGTGGGACTGGTACAAATGGCTGTAATCCGAACTGTGCGAGCACCTGCAATATGAGATGGAAAGATGTACCAGTGGCTGCAACTATAAAACATATAACCAACATTGCATTGAAATATGCACTTCCTTCTGTAATAAGACTCGTGAAAAGAACTGGCATCAGGTACCGTAATGCCACATGTAGTGGCTGAACTCGGCCACCGTAAGATACACATCAATAGTAGATGTAGGACCTGTGGTAAGAACTGCGGGAGGGTTCTACAACTGGTTGCATGTAATACGACCTGGTATAGGAACTGCAGTCGGGGACAAACGAAGAGCTGCGGTAAGAGTTCTACGACCCACTCAAGTAAGATCTGTAGTGTGAGCTGTAGCCAATGCTGCGTCAGGACATTACAGTCGGATGTGCAGTAAAAGATGTAAGAAGCATTGTGACAGGAACTGTAGTGAGAGCTGTACTTCTGGCTACAGGAGGACCTGAAGTAGGAACTATAGGTGAAGGTGCACAGTGAGCTTCATCGGGATAGGATATGCACTGCTGCTTGCAGTTGCTGTTGGATTCGAAGCAGGACGGTTACTAGACACAGTGCGCAAAACTGTACTACAGGCTGTAGTGGGAACTGCCATAAGAGCTGCACTCGGATACGCAATCGGATGTCTTACCTGTAGAAGGAACCGTAACAGCAAGGGACTTGTATTGCTAGAGGCATGTTTCCCACGGGATTATCTTGCTTTATGGCGCCCTGGAAATATCAAGCCTCGAGACCCCGCAAGAACCGAGCACACGATACCATGGATTACGCATCCGTGGATCTGGCGCGTTGGCGAAGGCCCCCCCTCCGAAACGTGGCGCTCGTGCTGCCCTATCTGTGGCAGAGGACCGCGCCGAGGTTGAATACGAGCGAGGCCCCTCGCTAGACCGCTCGCCTTAAGATCCATGGTTGCTTGGCAGCGCGCGCAGGGGTGTGGAGGGAGGGGGGACGGCTTCTTAGAACGAGGCTGATTCTTGGAAGGCGCCGGCCTTCCATCTATATATCAGGCTCGCGCCTTCTAAGAAGCAGCGGTGCTTCTAAGAAGTCCGCTGCCCTCCCCCAACCCCCTCTGCGCGTGGCTAGAGGCCGTCTAGATGGGGTCGGAGTAGATGAGGTCGGAGGGTCGCGCCGCATCGGCGATACATCGGCGATGTATCGGCGACGCATCAGCGACGTCGGCGATGCGTCGGCGACGTCCGTGTGAAGCAAATCGGGTTCCACATCGAGCCGCATCGCCGATGCATCGGCGATGCGGCCCGCTCCTCAGACCCCGTCCACTCCGACCCCACCTTGGAGGCCTGGAGTTAGATCGGGCATGTCCCCCTACAGGCGGATTCTGAACGAATAATGAAGAATACCCCAAATACCCAGAAACACATCAAAAATAGTAGAAACATCGTCACCATATTATCTTTTTTTCTATTTCTGGACACTCCTCCTGTATGGGGGACATGCCCGACTTAAGCCCAGTCCTAGCGTGGCTGACTTGCGCTTCCTCGATCGATCGAAGGGCCGCGCCAGCGGCGAGGCCGCGCGGGGGGGGGCGGCCAAGAGGGGGGCGTCCAAGAGGGGGGGGGGGGGGGCGCCAATCATGGCCGGCGGCATGTGCGCGGCCCCTGGGGGGGGGGTCAGGGACGTGATGAAATAAGAAGGGGCGCCATGAGATCTGGGGAAATATCGTGGCCCCCGCCATGATACCCCCCCCTAGTTCGGGGATCTTCTGACCGGGGTCAATCCAGACCCGGGTCAGCAGGAAACCAAGAACTGCAATGCAGAAAAAAAAAAATAACTGCAACGCAGATCTTCGCAAACCCAGGTCAGCCAATACGCGCGGCCGCCTCGCGGCCACGAGCCGCTCGCTGACCCGGGTCGGCCAGAGGGGGTCTTCGCAGGATCCTGCAGGATCTGGCGCCCTGGCTGACCCCCGTTTGCACTGACCCCCGTCTCAAGGCTCCCGAGAATTTGAGAATCAGCTCGCGTAGCTGATTTTCCCGGCGCCTCCCGGCGCCGGAGGCGGCCATGCATCGAGGACTGGGCCCCTCGGTGAGGCCGAAACCAGCTGCGTGCAGAAAATTTCGAACCCCCCCTTACAAAACAGGGCTAGGATCGGGATAAATCGCTCCAGAGCGTTCCGGGGCGCTCTCAGAGCGTTCCGAAACGCTCTGGAGCGGCCGCGGCGCCCAATACATCCTCCAAACCCGCCGATTCTCAGAGATTTCGACTTCTCCCGATCCGATCTTGTCCCGAGCTTCGCGTCGTTTTACCTTTCCCAATCCCCCCCTTTCGTCCGGCCCGACCCCAGTCATCACCCCCCACTTTTCGGGGATGGACAGAACCCCCTTTAGCAAAACGTGGTTTAGTGAAAACGACCTCGGGCCCAAACCCGGCGGGCGCAAGCCTGGAAAATAACGGCCACGGCGCCCTCTCGAGAGCCGAAAACGGGCAATTCACTAATCGACGTGTCACTGTTGGGGGTTCTGTCCAGCCCCGAACTTTGCCGCCCCCGAGCGCGGGAGGGGGGGGGCCAGCGGCGCCGCCCGCTCCCTCCCCGGGGCGCGCGCCGGCGGGGAGGCGGCCGCCGCCTCACTTCCTGGGAGCCGCGGGGGGCGCGCGGGGCGCCCCGCCCCTGCCGCCTCGACCTCTTCCTCCTCGATCTCCTCCTCCTCCTCGACCTCTGCCTCCTCGACCTCTTCCTCCTCGACCTCTTCCTCCTCGACCTCTGCCTCCTCGACCTATGCCTCCTCGACCTCTTCCTCCTCGACCTCTTCCTCCTCGATCTCTTCCTCCTCGACCTCCTCCTCCTCGACCTCGTCCTCCTCGACCTCTTCCTCCTCGACCTCCTCCTCCTCGATCTCTTCCTCCTCGACCTCTTCCTCATGTTCCCCCTCGATTTCGCTGGTGGCTGGGGGCGAGGCGAGACCCGCATGCCCGGCGAGGCGCGCCGTCACCGTCGTCGGCGGCGAATGGCGGCGGCGACGATCGGGAGGGGGGGGGGCAGCGAGGAGGACGCGGAGGAGGAGGGGAGGAGGAGGAGGGGGAGGAGGAGGAGGAGGAGGAGGAGGAGGAGGAGGAGGAGGAGGAGGAGGAGGAGGAGGAGGAGGAGGAGGAGGAGGAGGAGGGAGGAGGAGGAGGAGGAGGAGGAGGAGGAGGAGGAGGAGGAGGAGGAGGAGGAGGAGGAGGAGGAGGAGGAGGAGGAGGAGGAGGAGGAGGAGGAGGAGCAGCAGCAGCAGCAGCAGCAGGAGCAGGAGAAGGAAGACCAATGGGCCGTCTCCCTCGTGCCCGGCAGCTTGCTGCTGCTGAGCGCCACTGCCCCCGGGCGCTCTCGGCGCCTGCCCCGCTGGGCGGGCGGCGGCGCCTTCTCGGCCGCTTAAGCGCGCCCCGGAGCGCCCCGCGCCCCGCGCACTCGGCGGCAAGCGCGGCCTCACCGCATTCCCGGCACGCTCCGGCGGGGCCTGCCCCCTCTCGCCTCAGCCGCCTGCCTCCCGCCGCCGCACCTCGCTAGGCCACATGTGAACCCTACCCCTACCTCCCCTCAAAAATCGTGGGAGGTAGGGTTATGTCGGGCCTGTCTCCTACAGGGGGATTTTCGACGAAATATCCCAAAAACCCCCAAAATAATCAAAAAATGATCCAAAAATAGTCTGGGGACTACTTTTGGAATATGTTCTGACCTTTTTGGAACATTTTTGGTGTATGTTTGGTTTATTTTTGGGGTATTGTTTATCTTTCGTCGAAAATCCCCCTGTAGGGGGACACGCCCGACATAAGGGTAGGGGTTGGGCTCACGTGTGGCCCCCTGCTCGCCGGCCTCCGCGCGCAGGCCCTGGCCTGCGCGCGCGGGGCCGGCGGGCGCGATGCTGCAGCCCGGCCCCTGCTGCCTATAAGCGGGCACCCCGCGCCCCTCCCGCCGCGCCGGCGGCCCGCGCCGCGGACCGCACCTGCGAGAATTATGTCGGGCGTGTCCCCCTACAGGGGGATTTTCGGCGAAAAAGTACACCAAACATGCTCCAAAAAGGTCAGAAAATGTTCCAAACATAGTCCCCAGACTATTTTTGGATTATTTTTTGCATATTTTGGGAGTATTTTTTGATTTTTCGTCGAAAATCCCCCTGTAGGGCGACAGGCCCGACATAATACGAGAAGGGCGCCTGCCACTCTTGTCCTCTTCGCGCGGCCGCCCGTCGCCTTCAAGGGGGGGGCGCGCAGGGCCCTTTCGGACGGCCCCGCTCCGCCCTGCGGCGCCGCCTCCGCGCCCTCCCTTGGCGCCTCCGCTCCTGCCCGGCCCTGGACCGCCTCGCGCTCCTCCTCCTCCTCCTCCTCCTCCTCCTCCTCCTCCTCCTCCTCCTCCTCCTCCTCTCCACCTCCACCTCCTCCTCCTCCTCCTCCTCTTCCTCCTCCTCC